AAGGAGTGAGGAGAGACAGAGACAAAGATACACATGCACAAATGTAGTATAACACCAGATTTGAGAGAATTGTTGGACATAATGCCATCATCATCATCATCATCATCATTATCAGGTATAAGGCTATATCCAGACCATCTTTAAGTATAATGGTATGTAGGATTAGGATGTCTGAATTTTCATTAGGAATAATAATATGTTGCAATTTTCATTGGGAATAATATGTCGGAATCATCATTAGGAATGCTAATATTGGAGCGGCTGTGGCGCACGTGGTAGAGTGGGTTTCCACTAATCATAGGGTTGGCGGTTCGATTCCCGGCCCGGGTGACTCCACTTGCCAAAGTGTCCTTGGGCAAGACACTGAACCAAGCTAGTGCCTAGCATGGCAGCTCTACTACCACTGGAGTGTGAATGGGACACAGTGTAAAGTGCTTTGGGGGAAAAAAGCACTATATAAGGGCATTTAATAACATTTAATATGTTGGAATCAGCATTGGGTATAATAATATGTCGGGATCTTTATTGGGAATAATAATATGTCAGAATCATCATTGGGAATAATCATATATCGGAATCATCATTGGGAATAATACTATGTCGGGATCTTTATTGGGAATAATATGTCGGGATCTTTGTTGGGAATAATCATATATCAGAATCATCATTAGGAATAATACTATGTCAAGATCTTTATTGGGAATAATAATATGTTGGGATCTTTATTGGGAATAATAATATGTCGGGATCTTTATTGGGAATAATCATATATCAGAATCATCATTAGGAATAATACTATGTCAAGATCTTTATTGGGAATAATAATATGTTGGGATCTTTATTGGGAATAATAATATGTCGGGATCTTTATTGGGAATAATCATATATCAGAATCATCATTAGGAATAATACTATGTCAAGATCTTTATTGGGAATAATAATATGTCGGGATCTTTATTGGGAATAATAATATGTCAGAATCATCATTGGGAATAATCATATATCGGAATCATCATTGGGAATAATACTATGTCGGGATCTTTATTGGGAATAATCATATATCAGAATCATCATTAGGAATAATAATATGTGTCGAGATCTTTATTGGGAATAATAATATGTTGGGATCTTTATTGGGAATAATATGTTGGGATCTTTATTGGGAATAATATGTCGGGATCTTTATTGGGAATAATAATATGTCGGGATCTTTATTGGGAATAATAATATGTCGGAATCATCATTGGGAATAATACTATGTTGGGATCTTTATTGGGAATAATATGTCGGGATCTTTATTGGGAATAATAATATGTCGGGATCTTTATTGGGAATAATAATATGTCGGAATCATCATTGGGAATAATACTATGTCGGGATCTTTATTGGGAATAATATGTCGGGATCTTTATTGGGAATAATATGTCGGGATCTTTATTGGGAATAATCATATATCAGAATCATCATTAGGAATAATACTAAGTCGAGATCTTTATTGGGAATAATAATATGTTGGGATCTTTATTGGGAATAATATGTCGGGATCTTTATTGGGAATAATATGTCGGGATCTTTATTTTGAATAATAATATGTCGGGATCTTTATTGGGAATAATATGTCGGGATCTTTATTGGGAATAATAATATGTCGGAATCATCATTCGGAATAAAATCCCGAAATCATCATTGGGAATACTAATATGTCGGAATCATCATTGGGAATAATATGTCAGGATCGTCATTGGGAATAATAATATGATGGAAGTATCAACAGTAATATTTATATGCTGGAAGCACTATCAGGATTAATGGAAGCATCGTCAGGATTATTGACATATTGCCGTGCCCATATTGTTTGGTTTATTGATATGTCCAAATAATATCTTGGAAAAATAAAACATGGGGAATCATCATTAGGAATAATGATACGCCCAAGTTATTGTTGGGAAAATGATATGTAGGAATCATTGTCAGGAATAATGAGATCACTGGGAATAATGATGCGTAGAGGACGTTAGACAAACATGATTTGCTCGGGTCCACAGTCAGACCTACAGAAGAAGACGGATGAGTGTTCAGTGCCGTTACAGATCCATTGACTCTCCTCCCTCATGGATAATAATCGATGTATTTCCAGACTCATTTAAACACGGATGTGTAAAACTCGGGATGATGGATGGATAAGCTTCCATACTGCAGAGATGGGCCGGAGAAAGCCTGATGAAATTCCAATGCTGCGTGATTGATCTGTGTGTTTCTGCCAAGCGACTGGAATAACGCCTTGAACTGATGGATAGAGATTTGTGTTTCTGAAGGACAATGTGGAAATCAGCATGGGGTGTGACCTTTCCTGTCATCCCATGTTCTCTCTCTCTCTCTCTCTCTCTCTCTCTCTCTCTCTCTTTCCTTCTTACCTGCTCACGTTTTCTTTATTATTTTTTATATAAATATTCATTTATTTTTTCTTTTGTTCCTTTTTCCTTTCAGATTTTCACTTTTTCTTTCCTCTTTCTTTAACTTGTCTTTATTCTATCTATCTATCTATCTATCTATCTATCTATCTATCTATCTATCTATCTATCCCTCTTTCCTTTCTTTCTTTTCACTTTTTTTCTATTTGATCTTTTCTTTCTCTATCAAACTTTCTATATTCCCCATCCTTCTTTCTTTCATTCTTTCTTTCTTTCTTTTTTCATCCCTTTGTTCACCTGTCTATTCCTCTTTTCTTCTTTCTTACTTTTTCTTTAAAAATTTCTTTAAATCCATGTTTCTTTGAAACTTCATCCTCTTCTCCCTCTTTCTGTTCCTTTAACTCACTCCCTTGTCCCGTTCTGTCTGTCCATCACTCATTCCTTCATCCATCCGTCCATCCAAAAATCATAATCTCTTGAAATTCACCAATTCCCACTCTATATTACCTCGTGTTGGAATCATTTTTTCTCTCTCTTGATTTTTGTTTTTGTTTTTAATTGGTACGTTTGTCATGAGTCATGAACATGCTGAAGAGTGAAACGTTCGACCTCTCTCGGCGGAAATTGAGCAGAAGATGAGAAGAATGTCAACAGAAAATGAACGGAATCCACAGGGGACTGCGGCAGAGCATCACACTGTGAGCTGTCATGACACACACCAAGAAAACAACAACAACAAAAAAAAAAAAAAGACAGAGAGAAATGAAAGTGGTAACCGATAACTTGACGAGTTTACCAGCATATTTATGCCTTGGGAAGAAAGTTCCGATACATTTGGTCTGGAGCGAAAGCAGGAGTGCATGCTGTTTAATCTCGGCGGTTTTCAGCTCATTCTCGGGGCGTCATCTGCATCTGAAGGAAGGAAGGCACGACATTCACTCTCAGGAAACAATTGAGACCATCAATCACGTCGTAAAATGCTTCTGGCAGGAGCATAATAAATAAAATATGGCACACGTTGTTGTTGTTTTTTTATTGTAAAAGCATCGGTATCAGCTCATTTCAGCATGATATATCTCCTTATACCGCAGAACACTTGAATCAGAAGGCGTTGATTAATTTTCTATAACAGCATGGCTCGGAAACATAAATCGCAGGTTTATATTAATGTGCTCGCTCGAATAGGTTATCGTTTCTATAGTAACAGCTCGATCACAGGGACGTGTGAAGGAGTCACGGGCGTGTGGAATCGTTTACATGGGGAAGTTTTCTTTATTGTAAGGAAAATGTTTACGGAAGGAGTCTCCAGTCAGAGGTAAAGCTGTCACGTCAAGTTTTCTGACATCTTAAGGACACAGGACTTTACAGTTTTTGTGGTGCTTTTTATTCGTCGTAATAACTTTGAGAGAGAGAGAGAGAGAGAGAGAGAGAGAGATGTTGAGAACAGGAACCAACGTGTTTCATCAACATCAATTGTACCTATAATTGGATAAAAACATATACTGTCATTAATTAATAACTAAAAACTGTGCAACTGTCAGCAAATTGCTGTCGTATAAGAGGAATAAAACACTTCAGGGAGCGCTGTTAGTGGAAAATTGTTACGAAACGGGACTCAAGACAGGAAGTAAGCGCAGGAGTGACATTCATTTACCTCAGGCATGAACACTTCTTCAACTAAGGCATGAACACTCTCTAAACTAAGGCATGAACACTTCTTCAACTAAGGCATGAACACTCTCTAAACTAAGGCATGAACACTCTTAACCATGGGTTGGCATGAACTAAGGAACAAGACAGGACCTGGGACTTTACCGCGTGGCATCATTAAACCCATCAGTCTCTATTAGTCTCTGCATTACTTTAATACCACCCGACATGCGCAGCAACACGAGAGGTTTAAATAATCAGTCACAATTACCCCTGAATACAGACAGCTGGGACCAATCATGACACACCCTCGAATATCAGCCAATACCTGAACTGGAAGAGAACCAACCAAAACAAAAGTCCGTAGGAAATAGTCGTAGCGTCCATGCGCACTTCGAGCACATGCCTACGCTTTCGAGCACGTTGTCTCCACAGCGACCTCTGCCGGCGAGATCGCGACAAAAATAATCAACGTCATGGTAGAAACAGTAACACCAGGTGTGGATTATTTTCCTAAAACAGCCCAGCTTGTCATGTATTTTTCTCGAATTAATGAATACCGATTTAATTAATAGCAAATTTTACCCTCCGAACGCTAACAATCCGTGCTACTTCATCACCCGGGTCGGACCTTTCTCTCTACAGCTGCTGGCTTTCAGGTTCACTCTCCACGCTTCATAACTCAAGCTACCCTGAAAAAAACCCCTCAAAACAACAGGAAGTGAATTATGATGCATATCGCAAATGTTATTGCTGGAAAAGCAGCAAAATTGACATGAAATGTGAAACATGAAACATTCACCAAGTGAATCTAAGTTTTGTTAACACGTTTTTTTTTTTTTTTTATGTATTGTGTATTGTGTCGAGATTAACAGAAAAAAACAGATTTAGTTAAAAAAAATTTACTTAATCTCTATTAAAATGATCAATTGAATGTAAATAATTGTGGCTTAGTGGTTAGCACGTTCGCCTCACACCGCCAGAGTCCGGGGTTCGATTCCTGCCGTGTGTGTGGAGTTTGCATGTTCTCCCCGTACTGTGGGGGTTTCCTCCGGGTACTCAGGAGACATGCATGGTAGGTTGATTTGGCAGCTTGGTAAATTGTCCATAGTTTGATTGTGATTGAGTGTGATTGTGCCCTGTGATGGACTGGCACCCTGTCCAGGGTGTACCCTGCCTTGTTCCCGATGCTTCCTGGGATAGGCTCCAGGATCCCTGCGACCCTGAAGCAGGAATAAGCGGTTGAAGATGGATGGATATTATCTGTTATTTATTTTTATTTTAATGAACATTTTATTTCGATGAATTCATAATCATATGAATCAAACAGTTATTATAATTTTGAGGCAACTGCTACACACAACAGCAATTGCATTAATTCTAATAAGTAAGAAGGTATTTGTTGTCATTTGTATACAGGAAAAAAAAAATGAATAAAACAACATAAATTAGTTTCTCTACTGAATATAACAAATAAAATTTGTTCCTCTATTGAATATGACAAATGTTGTTTTTAGCCAGAAGGCTTAAAAACTACCTCCATGAGATCCTGGATCTCTGTAATGTTTCTGACATGGCTGTTTGTTTGATTTCAGGAGAATCGATGCTTTTGACAATGTTTTATTTTATTTATTATTTATTTATTAAACTCGAGCTGGTCTGAGCCAGCCAACTGCCATCACATGAAGAATCCACCAGCAAAGTCCAGTATTGGGCCAATTGTACAGTAGCCACTCCTGAACCACTCCTGGGAGACTAGCAGGTTTTCGGTTTCCAAGGGTAACGATGCTTCGGTTCTTTTTAATAATGGTGAGGACATAAGAGTATTATCTGAGGCTGTGGAGATTTAGCAGAAGGCATGTTTCAGCTAAAATTTACTGGGACAAAAGTAAAGTTTCAGGAGCAAGGCAGGTTCAAGTAGAGGGACGTCCACATTTATCTGGGAATCTGAGGTGGGACAGAGAGGGGTTGATGACTTTATTTCTTTTCTTAGGGAGAGAAGAAACCAAACTAGGAGGGTGCTGTAGAGAGCGTGTGTATGAAACTGTCTCCATGGAAATGGTTGCTACCTCAGCTGTCCTACAAGGGAAGAGTTTTGGTTGCCAGTAACTTGATTGCCTGTGTTCGCTTGCACAGACTTTAATGTACTACAACTATGCGCTGTAGTTTTTTTTGTTGTTGTTGTTTTTGGTTGGGCCAACACTGGGTCCAATCAGCCATATTGTACCTTCCACAAGGGACCCAAAAAGGGGATGTAGAAAGGGGACAAGGCTTAGTGGATATCAGGTCCAGAATAATGAATTTTCATTCACAAGCTACTCTGAGACTGCTATACAACAGGTCAATCACTCGGGAACATACTGAGACCTCATTATTAAGGAGAGCTGGTGGAATGGGACTTCATAAGCATCTATTTCTAATAAAACAACAAGAGGCTGATGGATCTCAGATATTTTAATTGGTCAGTGTTTGAGGCATGGAAGGAATTCTTGATGTGGAGAGCCTGACCATCATGCCCGTATGAAGCCTGACCATCACGCCCGCATGAAACCTGACCATCATGGCCGTATGAAGCCTGACCATCATGGCCATATGAAGACTGACCATCATGGCCGTATGAAGCCTGACCATCATGGCCGTATGAAGCCTGACCATCATGCCCGTATGAAGCCTGACCATCATGGCCATATGAAGCCTGACCATCATGCCCGTATGAAGCCTGACCATCATGGCCATATGAAGCCTGACCATCATGGCCATATGAAGCCTGACCATCATGGCCATATGAAGCCTGACCATCATGGCCATATGAAGCCTGACCATCATGGCCATATGAAGCCTGACCATCATGGCCATATGAAGCCTGACCATCATGCCCGTATGAAGCCTGACCATCATGGCCATATGAAGCCTGATCATCACGCCCGTATGAAGCCTGACATCATCATGACCGTATGAAGCCTGACCATCGTAACCGTATGAACCCATTCCAAAACTACTCACATTAGCACAAAGTTCACTCTTTGTTTGTTGTAACAGCCTCTACTCTTTTGGAAAGGCTTTCCACTAGATCTTGGAATGGGGCTATTGGAATTTCTGCTCACTCAGCCACAAGAGTATTAGTGAGGTCAAGCACTGATGTCAAATGAGAAGACCTGGTGTGCAGTCAGCGTTTCAGTTCATCCCAAAGGTGTTCCGTGGGGCTGAGGTCAGGGCTTTGGCCATTTGAGTTCTTCCAAATCAACCTTGGCAAACTATTTCATTATAGAGCTCGCTTGTGCACAGGGACATCGTCATGCTGGAATGGGTTTGGTTCCTCTTAGTTCCAGTGAAGGGCAATCGTAATGCTGCAACATACAAAGACATCCTATACAGCTGTGTGCTTCTAACAGTTGTTGTGGTAACAGTTTGGGAAAGAAACACTTATGGGTGTGATGGTCAGGGGTGCACATACTTTTGCCCATATAGTGTACATTACCTGACAAACTGATATGGCAGCTGTGTGTGAAAGGACTGGGATCAAGCCTGTGCACCTTCTAAACCGTTTGGTAGTGGAAACAAGTGGAGCTCACTGTCAGGAGACTGTGGGCGTTTCCAAAATGACCATTCCACATGTGCAAGATGGACGGATAAAATAAGATAAGATAAGATAATACTTTATTAATCCCTTAGATGGAGAAATTAGGGTGTCACACCAGCAGCCAAAAAAAAAAAAAGAAAGAAGGGTCAAAAGAGATAGTAAGGAGAACAATACAGGGATATATAAAGAGTATATAGAAGTTGTATAAATATGTATAGAAGCGCAAACTCTATATACATTTTACACACACACACACACACACATATGAGCAGTATATACAGCAAGCAACCATGTGCAGTCCCACTATACAAGTAGACCATGTGCATATCGCTGCTGAAGTAGAGGAATGGAATGAGGATGAGCGGTATCTCTAATGATGTACTACTCCAGAACTGGGTCCTTTTAAATCAACTGGGAAAACACGCTCTCCATAACCTGTGTGAAGGTGTGCCAGGCTTACATCTTCCAGGGAGGTCCCTCAAGTTTTTTGGCACTGACTCTTCCTCTAAAGTCTGCTGGCCATCCCCGAGAGCTGATTTCCAGTAGAGAATAGTATGCAGGGTAAGAGACATAAACAAACAGATATCAGGTGCACCTCCCCCTACTGACGGTGTAGGGTCAGGACATTTGTCCCAAAATGAAATCTTTGTTTTTGCACAATGCAGTCACATACATAAGCTGTTCCTTGATGGATTTCATCAGTAGGTGATGTTTTGATGTTGTTGTTGTTGTTGTTGTTATTGGTGGTGTTTTTTTCCTTCAGTTGTTTACCTTCTATAATAAAGAGAAAATGTATTTTTTTTTCAATGTTTTGTAAGAATCAAATACTTCTTGATGACATTTAATTTGACCAAATAATGTCTCTCTCTCTCTCTTGTTCTCTCTCTCATTTTCTCTCATTCTCTCTCATTCTTTCCCTCGTATTCTCTCGCTCTCTCTCTTGTTGTCTCTCCCTCTCTCTCTCTCCTCTCTCTTGTCTCTCTCTCTCTCTCTCTCTTCTCTCTCTCTCTCTCTCTCTCTCTCTCTCTCTCTCTTTTGTTCTCTCTCTCTCTTTCATTCTCTCTCATTCTTTCTCTTGTCCTCTCTCGTTCTCTCGTTCTCTCTCTTTCTCTCCCCCCCTCTCTCTCTCTCTTTCATTCTCTCTCATTCTTTCTCTCGTCCTCTCTCTCTTTTGTTCTCTCTCTCTCTCATTCTCTCTCATTCTTTCTCTCGTCCTCTCTCGTTCTCTCTCTCCCTTTTTTTTCTCTTTCTCCTTTTTTTCTCTCTCTCTCCCCCCAACATGGCGCTGGTTACTGATGAGGCTTGTTACGATGCCCACTGGAGATCAGTGTGTCTTTTTAAGCACTGCTTTAATCTGTTCTTCATCTGCTGAGGAGGAGCTCTTTCCCTTCATTTCCATTCAAACAGGAACACACTGTTCTCTATGTACCTGCTGAGAACCAGACTTTGAAAGTTCCCCCTCTCCTATACACACCCCCCCTCTCTCTCTCTCTCTCTCTCTCTCTCTTTCTCTCTCTCTCTCTACTCAGAATACTATACAATACAATACAAGTTCTAAAATTAATAAAAATTAATTAGTCTTAGTCTCTCTCTTTAAAATGAATAAATAAATAAAAGAAATCTTTTTATAGTATTTATAGGTTTTTTCTTGATTTTTTTTTTTCTTACTTTGTTACTTTTTTATTTTTTTGTTCTCTCAATTCTTATTTCTTGTCATCCAATTTCCTTTTTCTTCTTTTAATCTCTCCCTTTTTCCCTTCTTTATTTTCTTCTTCTAATTTTATTTTTGTTACTCTCTCTCTCTCTCTCTCTCTCTCGCACGTTTCTTATTTTGTTTTCTCTTCTACTTTTATTCCTTTTTTCATTCTCTCTGTTTAATCTTCCTTTCTCTTTTCTTTTCTACAGCACTTGCACACACACACACACACACACACACACACACACACACACACACACACACACACACACACACATCCTCTCACTGCACTGTAATGGAGTCGGAAAAGCATTTTAAGCTGATTATGAACTTTTTTTTGGGAAAAAGGAAAAAAGTGGGGGGGGGAAGGGCGCTTAGAAGGCGTTATACATCCGAGGCACAGCTAAAAGTGCAGTCATTATCCCAGAGAGGTCCGATTTTACCAGGAACCTCCAGTCAGTGGAGGGAAAATGTTAAGGACATGCTGATCTATCACTGTCAGAGACACATACTCACCTTTCGTTCCTTTTTTTTCGAGAAAACGGTTCTTTAAAAAAAAAAAAAAAAAGAGACTGAGACGTGTCTCTTCAATGAACTCCACGCTGACTCTAATTAGGTGTTGCATTCTGGATCCCTATTGATTGCATGTTTATGCTTCTCACCACCGTGTCAGTGAGCTACATAAAAGCAGACAGATGTGGAAAATGCACTGGAGGAAATGTAAGGAAGGGGGTCGGA